CTTTCATTTATTTGCCCTGTGCTGTGCTACAATAATTATGAGGGTAAATTACTCTTCATGTGACCAGTATGTGTGTAGTGTGTATTTTTGCTGGATTTTTATTTTATTGATATAGCTGTTCACCTGTATGCCCATACCAGATTTTTTTAGTTCTTTAACTTTGTATATGTTTTGATATCATGAACTGTGGTGCATTTGTTTCTCTTTTTGAAGATTGTGGGGTGCTTCATTGTCCCTTGAAATTCCCTATAATTGGGGGGTTGCTATTTCTGTTTCTGCAAAAATTTAATTAAAAATTTGACAGATTGCATTTAATCTGTAGATTACATCGAACAGTCTAGATATCTCATATTATTTGAAACTTTGAACAATAGCATGCTACTTTATGTTGTTTAATTTCTACTAAATGTCCTTTTATGTGTGTGTGTGTGTGTGTGTGTGTGATGGAGTTTCATTCTTGTTGCCCAGGCTGGAGTGCAATGGTGTGATCTCAGTGTGATCTTCAGCTCACCGCAACCTCTGCCTCCCAGGTTCAAGTAATTCTCCTGCCTCAGCCTCCTGAGTAGCTGGGATTACAGGCGTGCACCACCACACCTGGCTAATTTTGTATTCTTAGTAGAGATGGGGTTTCTCCATGTTGGTCTGGCTAGTCTCAAACTCCTGACCTCAAGTGGTCCGCTTGCCTTGGCCTCCCAAAGTGCTTGGATATAGGCCCCTGGAGTTACCGCGCCCAGCCAGTTTTCTTTTTTAATTAGTTTCTACTCTCATTCCAGTTTGGTCATTAAAAGTAAGCTATAAAGTTTCTATTTTAAAACATTTGTTAAGACTTTTGTTAGCCTAACAGGTGGTCTATCAAGGAGAATATTTTATGAGCTATTCAGAAGGGTATGTATTCTGCTTTTTGTTTAGAGTGTTCTCTACAATTCTATTAGACATAATTGTTTTATACTGCTTTGAAGTCTTCTATTTCCTTATGAGTATTCTTTTCTGATTATTCATTTCAGAAGTTGAGGTATTGAAATATCCTGCTATAACTATATTGCTCTCTATGTCTTATGATTGCTTCTGTCAGTATTTGCTCTATGTATTTGGAACCTAATATAAGACACACACACAAATATATATATATACACGTTTTTCAGGGTTCTATTAAATGAACATTTCTAATATAATGTTCTTCTTTGTCTCTTATGAGCTTTTAGTTAAAATAAGTTTTATGAAATAGGACAGTTTTTTATTTTAGATGTACTTTGGGTAATATAATTTTGACCTCTTCAATTTGGTTCTTTGCATAAAGTTTTTTCTTTCCTCTTGCCTTTTTCAGTCTCCTTTAATCATTAGATCTCAAGTGACTCTTGTAGAAAAGCAAGTTGTGGCCAGGCACGGTGGCTCACACCTGTAATCCCAGCACATTGGGAGGCCAAGGCAGGTGGATCACAAGGTCAGGAGATCGAGACCATCCTGGCTAACACGGTGAAACCCCGTCTCTACTAAAAATACAAAAACAAAATTAGCTGGGCGTGGTGGCAGGCGCCTGTAGTCCCAGCTACTCGGGAAAGTGGGCGGGAGAATGGCATAAACCCGGCGGGGGCTTGCAGTGAGCCGAGATCATGCCATGCACTCCAGCCTGGGTGACAGAGTGAGACTCTGTCTCAAAACAAAAAGAAAGAAAGAAAGAAAGAAAGAGAGAGAGAGAGAGAGAGAGAGAAAGAAAGTTGTATCTTGTTTATTGATTTCTTAAATAAATTTATTTTAGTGCATGTATTTCCAATGGAAAGCTTACTTCATAAATATTTAATAAATTTACTGAAATGGAAAGGCTTATTCGTGTTATTTTATTGTTTTGGTTATTGTATTTTTTTATTTCTTATTTTCTTTTTCTGTCTTTTGCATCTTTTTGACTTTTGTATTGATAGATTTTTTACTTCTTATTTTTTATGTATGCTGTACAGGTACTTTGTGGTATCTTGGAAATTACATAAAATTTCTTAAGGATTAAAATAATACATTTTTAAACTGGTAATTTCAGTTGCTTTTGAAAATTTTTCCTCATTACATCTGCCCTCGACTTTGTTACTAATGTCGCTAATAATTATATTTTTATGTTGTATTTTTATTAACAGATTGTGATAGAAAAGTTTGTAATCATTTTATGGTCTTTAAAATTTTAGAGAATAATTAAAATGTTTTCTGCACTATCATGATAATGGTACAGAACCTTACATTTGTATATGTTCATATCTTTTAAAAAAGTTTTATTTTCATATGTTTTGTTTTCTTGCATCATGCTATTTTCAGTGGAAGATGCTTTCTTCTTCATTTCTTTTGTAAGGCAGGTGTTCCTAATATGCTTTTTAACATTTGGTTATCTTGAAGCACTACTTTTCTTCATTTTTAGGACAGTTTGTATGTCATATTATTCCTACTTACAAGCTATCTTTCTTTCAGCATTTTAACTATATCACAATTCCCTCTTGTCTAAAAAAATTTTGTTGACAGATTCGCTGGTTATCTAAGACCACCCTTATAAATGACACATCACTTTTTTGTCTTTAGCTCTAAGATTCTCTGTCTTTGACTTCACAAAACTTTGCTTATATATGTGCCTTTTTATAAATCTGTGTGTATGTATCCTAGTTGAAGTTCATTGAGCTTCTTCATTTTTTACATCCTTCTTTGCTTTTGGAAATTTCTCACTCATTAGTTTGTATTTTTCACCTCTGTAATTTTTTTTATATTTTAACATTTTCATCGATAATCTCATTTGTCTTATTATATTTTAGTTGTATGTGTTCCCCTTTAGCTCATTGAGGATTATTCAGGTTAAATTTTTTAAATTTCTGCATCTTCGTTGTTTTATGGTGGTTTTCTGAAAAGTTTTAAATTTTTTAATTGGGCCATGTTGCCCTGATATTTTGTATATATTGTAACGTTTGTTATTTGAACATTAACAAAAAGGTATTTGTCACAATCATTTCAGTGTTGCTTTGTCCTGACATGGTCTGAAACCAATTGTCTTTGACAGAGATAATGGGAGCCTCTCATACATGTTCTAAGGATGTATCATCTGGGAATTTTTGTGTTTGTTTTTGATTAAATGGATTGTTCATGTTTCTTCTTATGGTCTCTAATCACTCTTCTACCTATTCCCTGTATTTAACACTTGCGGCCTGCTCCTGAAACATTTGCATTTGGTCTTGTGACCCATAGCACCATTTCTCTCAGCTCTGTGTTGTTGGAGACCAGAAACCAGATTTTGTAAAGAAGACCCCAAAAGCAAATAGAGATATATATCAATATTTTTCTTCTAAGTAAACCAGGAAGTTAACAGATTTTGCTCATATGGGCACAATGCTATATTGGGGAGGAGGAAAGCTGTGGTGAGTAAATGTAACAAACTTTCCTTTCTGTTCCATGTGGTTCTTAGTATTGTGCTTACCTGTGGCATTGCATACAATTAACTCATTTACAGATTTTGCAGGAAGGCATTTTGGTCAGTATATTTTTGTTACATGTTTGTGAAGAAATTATGGCCTGTGATATTTTGTTATGCTATCTTACTATTAGTTTGTATACATTTTCTATATTGTAAAGTATATTCCTTATGAATCTATTAGGATAATTTGTTATTTTTATTTCTTTCATGTGTTCTCCTTTCCAGCCAAGACCTTTCACCAGTGCAGGGATAGAAGATTCATTCAAAAACTTGTACTGAGAAGATACGAGAAATGTGGATATGAGAATTTACAATTAAGAAAGGGCTGTAAACATGTAGATGAGTGTAAGGTGCAGAAGGAGTTAATAGTGGAGTTTATCAATGCTTGTCAACTACCCAAAGTAAAATATTTCAATGTAATACATGTGTTAAAGTTTTTAGTAAACTTTCAAATTCAAACAAACATAAGACAAGACATACTGGAGAGAAACCCTTTAAATGTACAGAATGTGGCAGATCATTTACATATCACACCTAATTCAACATACGAAATTCATGCTGGAAAACCCTACAAATGTGAAAAATGCAGCAAAGCCTTTAATGAGTCAACATCACTTACTAAACATAAGAAATTATACTGGAGAGAAACCCTACACATGTGAAGAATGTGGGAAAGCCTTTAGACGGTCCACAGTTCTGAATGAACATAAGAAAATTCATACTGGAAGAAAACCCTTTCTAAATGTAAAGAATGTGGCAAAACCTTTAGATGGTCCTAAGCCTGAGCAGAACATAGAATATTCATGCTGGAGAAACCCTACAAATGTGAAGAAGAATGTGGCAAGCCTTTAGACAGTCCAGGAGTCTGAATGAACATAAAAATATTCATACCGGAGAAAAACCCTACACATGTGAAAAATGTGGCAAAGCCTTTAACCAGTCCTCAAGTCTTATTATACACAGGAGCATTCATTCACAGACAAAAACTTTAAATGTGAAGAAGTGTGGCAAAAGCACTACTTGGTCCTCATCCCTTAATAAACATAAGAGAATTCATACTGGAGAGAAACCCTACACATGTGAAGAATGTGGCAAAGCCTTTTATCGGTCCTCACACCTTGCTAAACATAAGAGAATTCATACTGAGAGAAACCACCACCGTGTGAAAAGAATGTGGCAAAAACTTTCAGCAATCCTCGACCCTTATATTACACAAGAGAATTCATTCTGGACAAAAACCTTACAAATGTGAAGAATGTGGCAAAGCCTTTGCAGTCCACAACACTGAATGAACATAAGAAAATTCATACTGGTGAGAAACCCTACAAATGTGAAGAATGTGGCAAAGCTTTCGTATGGTCCGCAAGCCTGAGTGAACATAAGAATATTCATACTGGAAAGCCCTACAAATGTAAGAGAATGTGGCAAAGCTTTTAACCAGTCCTCAGGCCTTATTATACACAGGAGCATTCATTCTGAACAAAAGCTTTACAAATGTGAAGAATGCAGCAAAGCCTTTGCTAGGTCCACAGCCCTGAATGAACACAAGAAAATTCATTCTGGAAAACCTACAAATGTAAAGAATGTGACAAAGCCTATAACTTATCCTCAACCCTTACTAAACATAGGAGAATTCATACCGGAGAGAAACCCTTCACATGTGAAGAATGTGTCAAAGCCTTCAATTGGTCTTCATCCTTACTAACATAAGATAATTCATACTGGAAAATTCTACAAATTATGAACAATGTGGCATCGGCCCTCAGCCCTTACTGTACACACAAGCGAATTCACACTGGTGAGAACATAGTTGAATGATATTTCTAGTTCTCTCTTCTGAGTGTTTTAAACAGCAAATAAATTGAAGAATATTGTTCTATAAACTTTTATTATTTTCTTATTTTAAATTTTTAAAAATTTCTGTAGGTACATAGTATGTGTATATATTTATGGCTTATTTGGGTTATTTTGATACAGGCATGTGACATGTAATTATCATATCAGAGTAAATGAGTTGTTCATCACAAGCATTTTATTCTTTGTGTTGCCACACAGTCAGTTAATACACTTTATTTATTTTTTATTTTTATTTTATTTTTTATTTTTTTTAATTTTTTATTTATTTTATCTTATTTTATTTTATATTTATTTTATTTTATTTTATGGCCAAGTCTTGCTCTGTATCACCCAGGCTAGTGCAATGGGTACAATCTTAGCTCACTGCCAACCTCCATCTGCCAGGTTCAAACAATTCTCTGCCTCAGCCTCATGAGTAGCTGTGACTACAGGCACGTGCCACCATGCCTAGCTAATTTTTGTATTTTTAGTAGAGATGAGGTTTCACAATGCTGGCCAGGATATTCTGCCGGAACTCCTGACCTCATGATCTGCCCACTTGGCCTCCCAAAGTGCTGGGATTACAGGCGTGAGCCATGGCACCCGGCCACTTTAATTATTTCAAATGTACAATTTTTTTTTTTTTTACTACAGGTTGTTTTATGATTATAATAACTATATAAGTATAATTATAATTCACACATTTATAAGTCATTAATGATTTTTTAAAAGTTCCATATTTATCTTTAAACATGCAGCATCTCTTTCTGCAAATAAACACAGACTTTGGTTTTGATTGACATGGAGTTAAATATGTAAATATATTGCTCTAAAGATAAAATTTAGGTGTAAGAAAATTATGGGACCAGCAGTTGTGTTTTGTGTAGAGTTTGTATCTATTTTCCAAAGAAAATTGCAATATTGGAACAAAGATTATTTTAATAAGGTGGATAATTTACTAGGAATCTAGAAACCTAAAATATTCTGAAACCAGATCTATATTGTATTACTGTAAAATTTAATGGACCATTGTTGAGACTGTCCCCATGCAAATTCTGTTATTTGTCTGTTACTCATGCTGAAATATAATTGACTTCTTTCTTACGTTTTTAAATTTTTATGAAGTATTATGTGAGCTGGTCAGAAATTACAGTTTTATAAAATTTAGTAGTGCACACAAAATTTTTAGATGCAAGTTCACAATTTATGTATTAAGTCCATATTTTAGTTAGAACATTTCATTTGTGCTTTAATTGGGATAACCCTATATGAGCTGTTTAATTATGCCTTTCACTATTTATAATTGACATAAATGAGTTTATTGTGCCAATTTGTTCAGGTAAGTACTGGGAAAACTTTATAATTCATGGGATGTTTTGATGAATATAGTAAACATAAGAAAGTACTGGGTGTGTAATAAATGCTCCATAATTAGCCATAAATAATCTTTCTGGAGTGAGTTTGTAGCTCCAAGTGAGAGAATGAAAATGTATATAGTGAAGAAATGGCAGTCTGCATTTGGAGAGAACATCTGTTCCGGGCTATAAGCAGCTCATTCTGAATTTAAAGAGTATCTCTGATTTTATTTTCTAATTATCTTCAGTTTTGGGATAGCTGTGTTTATTCCCAGCTATGTATGCCTCACAGCCCTTCTTCTTTGTATTATGGCTAAGTCTTTCACTGTTCTCTTTTTGCCATGCTGTTCATAGACTTTCTACGTTCTGATTAGAGTTTGAAATTTTTAATGTGTCAATTGTTTTCTTCAAGTGTTTGAGGTTATTTATAGCTTATCAATGCAATGTTTAGATCACTTAATTGAGATAAGTCATTTACTGTCCACAGGGGCATTGGTGGAGACATGGTGAAACACCCAGGACCTGTTTCTGGAATTATGGAGGGCAACTCCAGTCCCAGTGTGAGCCCCAGACTCTGGCACACTGGTGCATGCCAAATAATACTCAGACCACCACTACTCTGATCAGGGCCCTTGCTGCTGTCACTGTTGTCATCTGTGCTTGCAGTCCTCACAGTGCCTGGAAGTTCTGTTCTCAGGTAGCAGATGACTTTGCCAAGCATTCACATCTTTTTATTCCATCTGTGCAAGTACTTTATAATTCTGAATGTCTTCTAAACATCATTCTTCTTAAGATAGCTCATATAAATGGGATTGTACACTCTTTGTCACTATGTTTGTGGTATATTTCACTGAATATGATGTCTTAAAGTTTTATGCTTGTTGTAGCATGTGCATAATTTACTGTTGAAGATACATGTATTTCCATGCCTACTTATGCCATATGTTATCATTTATCAGAGAAACTTAAGTAGCTATCACCTTCTTGTGCTGGGGAGGGGTTGGAAAATGCTCTTAAAAATGTGTATACAAATATCTATTTCAGGTCCTGCTTTGAATACATGGATTCCCAGAAGTATACCTGGATGGTATAATTTCTCTTTTCTTTCTCTTCTTTTTCTTTCTTTTTTTTTTTTTTTTGAGATTGGATTTCACTTACAACCCAGGCTAGGTGTAGTGGTGCAATATTGGCTCACTGCAGCCTTGACATCAGGCTCAAATGATCCTTCCACCTCCCAGTCACCCAAGTAGCTGGGACTGACACATGCCAGCATGCCTGGCTAATTTTTGTGTTTTTGAGAGATAGGGTCTCACTGTGTTGCCCAGGCTGAACTCAAAATTCTGAGCCTAAGTAATTCTGCCACTTCAGCCTCCTAAAGTGTTGAAATTACAGGCATGAGCCACAGTTCATTTTTAATATTTTGGAAAACCTGCATCCTACTTTTATTGAGGGCTGCATTATTCTTTTCCACCAGCAGTGCATAGAGGTTCCAAATCCTACATATGACAACATTATTTTTTTATTTGTTGAATAGTGGCCATGCTAATGGATGAGACTTCAAGATTTTACTTTGCATTCTTCTCATAAGTGATTTTGATTGTCTTTTCAAATTCCTCTTGGTCATTTGCATAACTTCTTTTAGGAAATGTCTTTGAAGACACTGGTCCATTTAAAAAAAGTTATTCACCCTTGGTGGTGGTTATGTTTCAGAAGTCAAATGGTGAATGGCATTTGTACTCATAGTGTTTCCTTGATGTGTGGATGTGCAGAAGGTTTGAAAGTTTGATATAGTACCTTTTCTAATTATCTTATTGCTTCTGCTTTTAATGTGATACTCCAAAAGCCATCCAAAACCAATGTTATAAACTTTTCCCTATATTTTCTTCTAAGTGTTCAAGAGTTATGTCTTTTTAAGCTTTATGTTTAGTGTATGTAAAATGTTTGTTGTTGAAGAGAAAGGTCAAGTTCATTATCTTTCTTTTCATTCATTTAGACGTTGAGTTTTCTCACACCATTGGTTGGCGAGTCTGACCTTTTCTTCACTATTTGGTCATAGTAACCTAGTAGAAGATTATTTGATAATATTTGCACAGGCTTGTTTCTGGGTTCTTTGTTCTGTCATGTGTTTGTTTGTTTGTTTCTTTGTGCACCCATTACCACATTGGTTTTATTTTTGTAGCTTTGGAATCTGTTTTGACATCGCGAGATGTAGTACTTCTTTGTTCTTTTCTAAAGCTGTTGGCTATTCATGTTTCCCTTGAAGGACTACACATGAATTTTAGAATTATATAAAATAACCTCTGCCAAATAGTAACATTGGAATTTTAATAAGGATGACATTGAATTTGTGCAATACTCAGAAGTATTGACAGCATAACAATCATGCATCTCCTGAGCGGAGAAACATGCATTTGTGTCTGTGGTGTGTTTGTGAGTGTGTGGTTGGCATCCCAGAGATAGTGCGAGGTACAAGAGAAAGAGTTCAAAGTGTTTCCTTGGCCTTTTTCTGGTCTCCTGCAACTTTCGTATCCACTGGTTAGCCTACCTTCAACTGGTTTATCTTCTTAGATATATCATTGTCAAGTTGGTAGGACAATAAAAATTCCTTTCACAAGTTGAAGACATTTGTCTACTTTTGGCCCAATCTCACACCCAAAGACCCAGAATGTTGGAAGTTAGGGAAGATAAATTCTCCGTGGTAGATTTGTAAGTTAATTTGCTTTATTGAATTGTGTTTTATTTATAATTTTTTGGCATTGTGTCATTTAATCAGAACAGACACCATGTATATTTTATCATGCCTATATTTTCATGTCCACATAAAATGGAAGAACAAAGAAAGAGACATAAAAAACAAAAAATAATGTAAAGAGATAAAGGAAGCAAAAAGAGGAAAATGCAATTTTAAAGTGCTAGAAAATTAGAACTAAGAAAGCATCTGGGCTGTGTAATCACCATTTTTGTTATTGCAAGGCCCAAACCAACAGGTCCTCCTGAAACAGAGATATCAGACTGCAAATAACCCCTGAACATTTTCTATTTTTATGGTATTTTATTCTTTCCCTAAGTTACCTCACTTTGTTTTGTCAGCTGAAACTAAACCCAGATATATTCATTTGTATTTACACTTAACTCTGAAGAAATGCCTGAGGAATGGGTAACTTATAAAGGAAAGAGATGGCTGGGTGTGGTGTCTCACGCCTGTAATCCCAACATTTTTCAGAGGCTGAGTTGGGCGGGTCACAAGGTCAGGAGTTTGAGACCAGCTTGGCCAACATGGTGAAACCCCATCTCAACTAAAAATACAAAAATTAGCCAGGTATGGTGAACGGCTGTAATCCCAGCTACTCAGGAGGCTGAGGCAGGAAAATCCTTGAATCCGGGAGGCGGAGGTTGCAGTGAGCCAGATCATGCCAGAACAGCGTAGGGGAACACGCCCACAATCTAATAAGCACCATTGAGTTCCCTCCCCAAATGTAAGAGTTACAGTTCCAGATTACAATTCAAGATCAAATTTGGGTAGATACTACAAAGCCAGATTATATTATTCCACTTTGAGTCCTCCCAAATCATATTTCTCACATTCCAAAACCCAATTATGCCTTCC